CGCCACTGCTGGTGGGAGTGCCAACTTGTACAGCCACTTTGGAAATCAGTATGGCGACTCCTCCAGAAAATGGAAATCAGTCTACCACAAGATCCAGCAATTCCACTCCTAGGCATACACCCCAAAGAAGCATATTCCTACAACAAAGACATCTGTTCAATAATGCAGCACTATTTGTAGTAGCCAGAAACTGGAAGCAGTCTAGATGCCCCTCAACCAAAGAAGGGATAGAGAAAATATGGTACATTTACACAATGGAGTACTACTCAGCAAAATAAAATAAAATAAAATAAAAATAAATAAAAAACCAATGGAATCTTGAAATTTGCAGGAAAATGGATGGAACTAGAAGAAACCATTCTGAGTGAGGTAACCCAGTCACAAAAAGACAAACATGGTAACTCACTCATATGTGGATTTTAATCTTATATAAGGGATTACCAGCCTACAATCCACACTGCCAGAGAAACTAGTAAACAAGGAGGACCCTAAGAGAGACAAACTTTGTCCCCTGCAGAAGGGGAAAGGGTCACCATCCCCTGAGCAAATTGAGAACACGGGAAGAGGGGGGAGGGAGCTACGAGAATGAGAAGGGAAGAAGAGGAAGGATGCAGAGGTCATGAGGGAGCAGAAAGGTTGAGTCAGGTGTAGATTAGAAAAAAGAATATGTGATAGTAGGGTTTTAGTTGGGGGGGGTGATAGGGGAGGACGGGAGGGAGAAGGGAACTGGGATTGTCATGTAATTCAATCTTGTTTGTAATTCAAATAAAAAATTATAAGAAGGAACCATCTCAAATCAATAGACTCTCACCCAAAGAACTAAAAACAACAAGCAAAGCAGAAATGCTAAATGAGAAACACCCTCTGAGTACCCTTACTAACGGCCAACCTTCGAATTTTGCAGAGACATTTCTATTGGTTCACCTGTGCAAGAGTGGGTGGGGCTAAATTTCCCTTCTCAGTGTCTCTCATTGGCTACAGCAGTGACGTAAACAAACCATTGCGTCTCATTGGCTGGGAAGTGAAAAGTGGCCTCGAGGGGTCTCCCTGAAGAGAACGCAAACGGACACCTGGAAACCGCGGAGGAGGTACGCTGTTTCAGGCTCTCCTCAGGTTTGTCGGTTAGCGGTTAGCCGTTCACTGACATCTCCGGGAGGCCGAGGAAGCCTACTGAGAGTCAGGAGATCTCAAGCTTCATCAGAAAGCCTCTGTGTTGCCCAGGCCTGTGGTAATCATGCAGAGAATTTTGCGCCGTATTTTAACTTTCTTTCAGAGGAGGACCGAATCTCAAGGAAAGCTCCAGATTCAAGGTAATCCTCTGGCTCTGGGAGTCAGCCCCCATGTTCCCCACTCAAGGAGACTCCTCAGAAAGGGTATCCTCCACGTGAGGAGTGGTGAGGCAACAAATAGGGGGAGGGACCTGCCGCCATCCTGAGTGGCTGTTGAGCATGAGGGTAAGCCTGAGTTCCCGACAGTTAGGCCAGCACTGTCTAACTGTGCCTCAAGCGCCCTTGGTGGACCAACGCAGGAGGGTGTCTGGACCAACTCAAAGAACATAAGTCTTTGTGGGCTGTACTGTCTCCGCCTTCCCCTTACAAGACGCCTTTGTATTCCCCAGAGAAGGGGACCATCTCACTTTGAGAGTGAATTTGGCCTTGTTTCCCACGCACACATGTATCTGAAGCCAGGAGGCAGAGTCGGTCATAAGGAGGGTACCACAGAGGAAGGTGCCCGGTGGTCCCAGCAGGCTACTGGAGCCACATCCCAAAACATTACTTACCCTTTATGCTTATGGAGAGTAAGAGACAATTTGGAAACGTATCCTTGTATCTGCACATATCGTTTAATGCTCTGTCAGAATGCAGAACCATGGCTGTGCGTTTGCTACTGACGATGAGGCAGGCATACACTAGTAATAATGGGAATTCAAAGAGGCTTCCTGAGCAGATAAGATGAGCACATCCCTTGCACTCTACTGGCACAGGTCACCTGCAGATGCCATGGAGGCACAGTGACAACCTTAGGCTGCAGAAATAGTTATTTTGGTCAGAGAAGTGATGGTATGTGCTCACATCTACACAGGTGGTAGAAGTCAGACTACGACTTCTGTTTAGTGGCTCTTTGCATTTGACAGTGTGACCTTTGTTTCCCTGTGTCATAGATAACTCCAAATTTAAGTCTGTCAGAGGAATTGTTACCTATCTCTGTACCGACTATGGCTGGATTAATGAGACTATCTTCTTCAATCCTGATATGGTGTGTGGAAATGTTCCAGTGAATGTTGGAATGAGCGTCATTGCTCTCGTGGAAGAAGATGAAACAACTCATGCACTAAAAACCATCAAAGTAAGACTGAGTTTGCTAAGATTCTATTATAGTAATGGGATTTTGATATTTCCTCTTTGATCAAGACAAGCATTATTGTGGATATAGGGTCATTGTTGACATTCTCCTTTAAGTTTAGCAGATTTGATGTTCTAGTATTCAATTGCAGTGATGTTTTTCTGGTCCTAAAGCTTTTGTGTCTCTTCCCCTATATTTGAATAACACAGTGAATGATGTTCTCTGTATGCAACTCAATCTGACCCTGCAACTTTCAACTCTCAGTGAAAAGCCACTTTCTATCCTGTGCATTCAAACTAGTAGAATTAGCATGAACTGTGTGCATCATAGTCTTTCATATAGCAATTAAGATATACTTAACACACAACAAATCCTAGTTTAATCCTTTGCCTATACAAAGTCCTGCCTCTACTTGTTATTTTAGCTGCAACCACTGTCTCCTTATCTTATAGGTGAAAACTATGTCTGATCCTATTTATGGTATTGAACCATCAGAATTTGACAAGAGACTTTGCATTAAGTGTGTGACGTATGCAACACGGGACAGCATCTATATCAGCAAGGAAACGTTTTTTCCCATGCAGCTTCTTTCTGGAGGTATTCTTTCACATTTCATTTGCTTGTTTAACAATTTTATACAATGAGCTTTGACCATATTCACATCCTTCCCCAAATCCACCCCTCTCCCCTATCCAAACAACTTTGTGTCCTCTTTTTATTCACTGATCAAGTCCAATTTGTGCTGCATATACATTCATGGACATGTGGGTTTCCACTGGAGTATGGTGGACCTCCCAGTAGCAACACTCTTCAAAAACACTGACTCACTGTGTTGGCAAATTGTCATGTCAGCTTGACACAGACTAGATTCATTTGTGAAGAGAAAGCATCAATTGGGAAAATGCACCTTTGCAGACATGGTGGTATATGCCTTTAGTCCCAAAGCTTTTTGAAAACTTGTCTCAAAAAACAAACAAAACGTCTATGATCTCAGCACTCAGAAGCCTGAAGCTAGGGATTCTTGAGTTCAAAGACAAATCTTGGATACCCAGTGAGCTTTAGAACACCCCAAAGAAACCTATCTGGAAAACCAAAAATTCTAAACGAAAAACTTAAGACATCTATTGATAAATAAAAAATCGTAGTCATTAGTGATTGCATTCACATTGTAAATGATATCAGGAAAGTTTTAAACATTTCATATTTCCCCTTTATTGTACCTGATTTCCAATTTCAAGGACATTTTCCACATTCTCAAGATCATGTAACCCAAGACCAACAGACTATACCTATCATTCGTGTTCAATGCCTTTTCAAAGAATCTCAAGCTCAAGCCAGACCAAATCCCAGCATCAAGTGGGAAAGTGGACATCAAGTTCACTCCTAGCAAAGGAAATATTGGTGATTGATAGCTCCTGGGAGAGGGAGAGTGTCTTAATTAGGGTTTCAACTGCTGTGATGAACATTATGACCAAAAGCAACCTGGGGAGGAAACGGTTTATTTCATCTTGAAGATTTTTGTCCACAATCAAGATAGAAGAACCAGTGTTTAAAGGATTATAAACTTTCCTTATTGTAGGAACATATTCAAGGTCTCTGTGATGGGTATTTTTATTTTGTCTTTGTTTTTTTGAGGCACGGTCTTACTATGTAGTCTTGGCTGTCCTGGAACTCGCTCTGGAGAACAGACTAGCCTCGAACTCATAGAGATCTACCTGCCTCTGCATTTGGAGTGCTGGCATTAAAGGCATGAGCCACCATACTTATCCAAAAGATATCTAAGTATTTGGAAAAGTTACTTTACATTCAGGAAATATTGGTCACAATATTGCAGTGGCAAATGGCCTTGGTAATGCGACATAAACTGAGTGCAATAATATTTACATTTCTAATATTCTTGGCTGTTTTAGGATTTTTGCCTTTTAAAGGAGATTTGTTGCTGGTTGAATATTCCTTGAAGCCGGGAACTTCAAACATCACTATCCACACTGTGAGCCTCCTGAACTCCCAAAATATGGATGAGGTAATATACTTCTATGTTGCCCTTGTCATGGGTACACAGCTGTCTATCCTTCCTTCCTGATCACTTTTTTAGGCCAGGACTTTGTTTGGTATGTCTGGCAGTATATCCCCTGCCAAAGTGGACACATTCACTGATTGAAAAGGAAATTAGCAGAAAATAATGTAGAATACACACATACTTAATTCCTAGGTTGTGTGTTTTACTTGACATTAGGATGTTCTGTGGACAACAGTTACAAAGTGTCTTAGCTCTGAGGCAATTGTGGGGAAACTAAGTGCCCTGGGTTTGAGGTGTTCAATCTGCTGATGAGGAGGGAGGTGGGGTGGGGAAGGGGGTGGAGTAAGACCTTGGTTAGTACAGCCTGAGAATGAGATGTGAAGCCAGGGAGGTAGCGGGTGAGGCCACATTGAGTAGCATGCAGGGTTCATCCTCTTATCAGTAGCCCAGGGCTCATCTTGTTTCTCTGCTTTAATAGGAGAGGGGTAGAACGGTGACTCAGATGTATCGACTTACTTTCCCTGTGTGTCCAGGATGAGAATCAGTGATGGGGTGGGGGACCTGCTGTTTACAGCCAAGGGGTTGTTGAGGGCCGTCTGTGGTGGGTTCTGCTTCTCCATACTCACTGCCTTCATTTCCCTTCATAGGTCTGTGTGACCAGCGTTGATGGAAGAACTGGTGTGGTGGATGACATCATCTATTTCACTTTGGATTCCCTCCAGAAGCCTACTGGTTATACACCCGGGCTCTATGACATTGTGAATGTGGTTGCTGTGGACAGTGTTCAGCAGCACTGTTCTTGGAGGGCAGTATCAATGATCCCGGTGGAGATGTGTATTGACCAAGCCTCATAATTCGTTTTCAATATTATTTCTAAGGCTCTGGTTTAATAAAATAATATGAGCATGTAAAGCAAAGATATATGAACTATGTATGACTCTTCTTTTGAACATCCTGGTAATTTCATTAGCAACATGAACTCACTTTAGGAAGGTACCATGTTAATTAAAAAACATGTCCTATTGGAATGTGATTTTTGCAGAGGAACAACCCTGCCTTTAAGGTAAATGCATCTTTTTCCATAAGCAGGAGCAGATTCTGTGTTGCCAGTGGCCTTGTGGGCCATTAAGCAGCATGGAGAAGCAAAGCATTTGACTCAAGATTCTGGGGATGAGCCGGCAAATGTGATGGGGTATGACTTAGCTTTACAGCTTGTCCTCTAGTCTGAGTGTCCTTATGCCTTTCCAAAGTTTATTTCTCTACAGTGTCTTTCATTTCCTACCAGCTACTCCATTTGTTAAACTTAGTGTTTTTCTGTGGATCCTCCTCCTATGGTAGCATTTCATCTCCATAAAAATAGGGTGTTAGGTGAGTCACTTTTTAACTCCCAGCATTTATAATAGTTCTTAGTAGATCCTAGGGGCAGATTGAAAGTTACAGAGTAGTAAAATAAATTCACTGGGCTGTAGTAGTGCTTTGCTATAGTTTTAATTGCTATGATTTAAATCGTTCCACATCCCATTAAGAACTCATTTAAACAAAACATTATCATAAGTGTAAAATATCAATTTTCATTTTATGGGATTGGTGTAGTTCATTTGCAGATATGGATCACATAAAACCCTAGAGCCTTTTTCATGATCATGTCATTGCTGACCCAAGGGAGAAGTGTCTAATGGACACATAAATGCATCTGAAGGCCAGTGACGTTTCAGAGATTCAGTATCACTGCAAAGTTGTGCTATGTTTTCCCCAGGCATATTATCCAGGATTTGACCAGAAATTCCTGTCCTTAACTAACAGAGTCTTTCACATATAACCCTGGCTTTAATTTACCATCACAGTTCTCACAATCTTTACTTCCCTGAAATTTCTCTGGATCACTGGAAACTATGTCATTCCAACTGTAACTGAAACAACTCCAAAATACTATTTTTTGGTTTCTTTTTTTGAGACAGGGTTTTACTGTCTAACAACCTTGGCTGTCCTGGCACTCGCTCTGTACACCAGGCTGGCCTTGAACTCACAGAGATCTACCTGCCTCTGACCCTTGAGTGCTGGGATTAAAAGCATGCACTACCACTGCCCTGTTAAAATATTATTATTTATTTTTGTTTTATGTACATTATTGTATTGCCTGCATGTGTGTGTGGTGCATTTCAGATCCCCTACAACTGGAGTTTACAGATAGCTATGAGCTGCCATGTGTGTGTGCTAGGAATTGAAACTGGGTCCTCTGTAAGAGCAGTCTGTGCTCTTAATCCCTGACCAATCTCTCCATCTCCAAGCTATTATTTTAACATGTTTTTATTGATTTTTTTGGGAATTTCACATCATGCACCCCAATCTCATTTCCCAGTCCTTCCATATTCACCCTTTATCCTAGTAGTGTCCCCCACAAAGGAAAGGTTAAAAAGAAATAAAATGAGAAAAAAACAAACCGAACAAAAAACTATACCAAAATAAAACAAAAAAGCAAAAAAATTTTAAAAACCCAACCCTTTTTTCTCCCCCGTCTTTCCTGCCTCTCCATATCTTCTTCATTCTTCTTAGTGTCATTTGGGAGGTGCTGTGTATTGTACAGTATACCCTTTTGTCAAAATAGCTTTTTTGTTGTTTGTTTGTTTTCCGTTTTTATTAGAAAGAAAATTATTTTACATGTCAATCCCAGGTCCCTCTCCCTCCCCCCTTCCCCTGCCCCCCCAACTAACACCCTACCCATCCCATACCCTTTCTGCTCCCCAGGGGCCTTCCATAGTGGGTCTTCTGAGTCTGTCGTATTCTTTGGGATAGGGCACACAAATATTCATTGTGTAATGTGTTGTTGGTTATATTCAAGGCCTCTGTGTTCTAGTACACCAACAATACTTTACCTTCACTGACAATGATTGGATATCCTGCTGTTACCCCTAGTCATGGAGATCCCCTGGCCATGGTTCTGCAGGACCAGTCCCTTCAAGTGCTCTGACAGATCATAAATGGGTTGGATGTTGGGGAGTGTGAACTCAAAGCCCTGAATGTGTACCTGGAGAGGTAGCTGAGTTGGTCTGATCAGGTGCTTCCTCTCTGGGGCGGAGCCAGCTCTCCCACAAGGGTGGTGAGGGGTGAGGCCAGCTTTCCCAAGTGTTTTGGGGGCAGCTTTCCTATTAGGGTCAGGACCAGCTCTTCAATGCAGGGTCATCAAGTCATCAGTTATCTCAGAGCAAGTGAGGGTTAGGGTCAGCTCTTAAGTGGGGAGGGCAGCTTTCTCCAGACCAGGCCAGTGAGAGGTGTGGCTAATTCATCACAGCCTTTGTACTTCAACACATGTTTCAACACAGGGTTCATCACATGGTTTTCATGGGCCCCTGTGATAACATGGGCAAAAGACATCAACACAGATCCTGCTGTGGCAGGACCACAGATCTAGACATGGCCAGCAGCTGCAGCTTGAGCCTAGATGTTACCATATCTAAAGGTGGCAGCACAGGCCTCTCAGGTTGGCATGGACCCAGCAGCATTGTGGTCACCCAACTACAACATGGACCTAGGTGGTGGCCCAGACTCCAGGCAGTCACAAGGACTTCGATGGCAGCAAGGGTCTTGGACGTCAATACAGCTCCTAGCTGTGGTAGGGCCATGTACCTAGACATCACCATGGCCCCAGGTGGCAGCGCAGGCCACCCCATCTGTATGGCAGCATGTTCTTCAGGTACCAACATGACCTCAGGCCACCCCATCTGTATGGCAGCATGTTCTTCAGGTACCAACATGACCTCAGGCGTCGTCCCGTTTCCCTGGCATCTACACTGCCTTTGGTGGAAACTTGTGTAAATGGAAGTTCTGAATTGGTCTATGTAATTAAAAACCTGCAGTCAGATATAGAGGAAAATGCTGAGAGAACAGAGAGAAGAAGGAGCAAACTAGAGCCACACATTACCTCCTTAGCTTCTCAGCAGACAAGACAGTGAGGTCTTGTTTCTCCCTTGTTATTTTTTATTGTTATACAGTTTATACCTTTGATTGATTATTTATTAAAGCTTGCCTGAGGATACAGAAAGCAAAGCCAGCCACAAGCTATAGAGGTCAGGCAGTGGTGATACACACCTTTAATTCTAGCAGCCACACTGGCTAGCCATAGAGCCAGGTGGTGGTGGCACACACCTTTAATCTCAGGACTCAAGAGACAAGTAGATTCATCTCTGTTAGTTCCAGGCCACACTGGGCTACATGAAATTGATCTAGTCTTAAAGAGAAACAGCTTACACAAAGGTGATCTCAGCACTTAGGATCACATACCTTTAATCTCAGGATTTGATAGGTATAAAAAGAATTTGTCTCTAGCTAGGTTGAGGAGATCATAGCAGTCTAGAGATGCAATCTGAGGTTCAGTGAATCGCCCCTTTGGTCCGAGGTAGAGGTAAGAGCTAATGGCTTGGCTGCTTTGCTTCTCTGATCTTCCCCTTGAAGCTTTAGCTAAAATATCTGTCTCTGGGTCTTTTATTTTTCATGCTACAAATTGGCATCCAATGTAAAAGTACAAATTCAGGAAAAAGCAAATTTGAAGCTACTGGTCCAGGCCCAGGCCTGAGCTGCAGACAGGCTCCCACTAGAGTCCCTGCCAAACTAGTTATGTTTTTCTTTGTTTTCACCCCAAATCTTTGAGCAAGTTGGCATTTTCTTGTTGTGGCAGACTTCCCCTACAGCCCTTCTCCTCGGGGTGACACTCTCAGCTCACAGTTCTTGGATCAGATGTGCCATACCTCACAGTTCACTGACAATGTTGGCAGATTTGGTAAAGTCAATTGGGAATTCTCAAAGGAAGGAATTAGTTTAAAAGAGAGTTTTCCCACATTAAAAATGGGAAACATAATTACAATAGAGAGAATTGGTCTCTGTATGATTGTTCTATGAATGATTTAAAAATTGAACAATTAAATGAAGGCATAATCTGTTGGGAGCAAATCTCAGGGCTGGGCATGAGATCCTAGGCCATTCTTGGCCGGCCACATAGTTGTATATTAACCTTTACATAGCAGCTCCTTAGAACCTCAGCTCAAGAAAAAGACCCAGTCCTCCACCCACAGGCTCAGTCACCTAGGCAACCCTTCCTGGACCTCTTACTCATGAACTCTTTACCCTGCCAAACATCCTCTTTGTGGCTTCCTAATATCTTGCTATACTAACACCTGGTGCACAAACAAACCATTCTGCCCTCCCCATATCCTGACTATATAAGCTAGCCTGAGAAAAGTAAAGTTTGCCACTTGATCAGAATCCTGTCTCGTGGTCGTTCTTTCTTCGTCTCTTGTCCGCATTCCCTATCCCCGACTCTCTTGCCCAAGATTGAGGTCCTGCAGGTCGGGACAACAATCAACTTAACTGGTATTGATATACTGTTAATTATCATTTTGATAATTCTTACTTTATCTCTAAAAAAGTTGGTGAATATGAGTGCCAGGATGCCAACCTTAGAAAAACTTATTAAAACAGATCATAGAAATATTCAGACCCAGATAGAGGAATTTAATGGGGGATCAAATTCAACATTGCATTTTAAGGCTAAAAGGGAACCTAAAATCTTAAGAGAACCCATTTTAATATATCCAGGAAGCTTACAGGAAGTGCCAAATGACAGAGGTTCTATAAGAGCTACCTGAAAGCCTACGACAATGTTAGATTTAGGGAAATTCAAGGAAGTTGTAGTCTCAAGTGGCATCCATTCACCATTTGTGAAGCAGATGATAAACACGTTGTCAGTTTGTAATAGAGTTATCCTTATAGACTGGATATATTTGATTAAAGCTGTTCTAGAGCCTAGAACAGAATTGCAATGGACTTCCTGGTTCAGGGAAGAGGCTAAGAATATTGAACA